ACTCAACAACTGTCAATACAATGGAGGGGAACAAAACATCACAGGAGCATTACAACACATCTTCATTTCACTACCGCTTTGTTTGAAAAGTTACTGAATAAGTCAACATTTTTATTACTGCTTATACTGAAATGCTATTTTAGCGTGACAAGGACCCGGAAAAAAAGTAGAATTGACAACCAAACTATTCTAGGTTCCCAAAGAAGTTGTATGCTTTTTTGTTGTTTTCTATTTAATAATAACAGTCAATTGGCATTTTTTCCACACTGTAAATGATGCATATCTTCCCTAAATCCCACAGAGTGAGAGTGGTTAACTTGTACTCTGCATTCCTGTAAAGTCTCATGGAAGGGCTGTTCCCCTAGCATGTAGGAATACACAAAATGTTTGCCAACACATTAAGGCCCTAGAACAGTTCCTGCTGCCCAAACCAGGCTCACTGCACCTCACTCACATCCCTGTGCACCCTGTGTTCTTTGCTTATACCAAGGTTCACCTAAAGAGCAAAGCGCTGTGATTTCATTTGAAAGAAATTAAGGATATCCCTTCGTAAATGCCATGGCTTCAGCTGAAACCTAGAAGTAGGGGCAGAGGAATTCACTGTAAAAGAACCCCATACAACTCAGTGCCTCATGGTGCTACCAAAAAAAGCGGGAACAAAGACTAGTGCATGAGGACTCAGAATTGGGTTCACAGCCTGGGGCTCTCACCACAAGCATTGGTCAGAGCTAAGTGAACTCTAGGCATTCCTCCACAAGAAAGGCATTCCCTCCTGCGCATTCGCCATAATGCCTGGCACCATGAAATGGAGTTTTCTTAGTATTTCCATTAGGATTTTACTAATTTTTATGCTGTAAAACTGGTAGTTTTCAGTCAAAACAAACCCCTCCTATGAAGAAAGGGGACTGGTAGTCCACCAGTGGACACACTGGCGTCCTCCTCAGCAAGCACTGGCCTGGAGATCAGAACTAAGACACCATGCCACCCTCAGCATCACGCAAGGAAACAAGGTAAAGCAGGGGTCAGCACAAACACCACGTTTGTACCTAGCTGTGCTTATACATGAGCTATCCAGATCACACGTAATGCTGCTCTAGGAATGAAGTGAACACAAAACCAGGAAAACCGCTCAAGCTGAAGTTTTGGCCCTGCTGAAGTTGACCGTAAAAGTACTGCTGACTCAGGAGGACTAAAGCTCTCCACAGCAGGGCAACAACAGCAGTGCATCAATGTCATCTCATGATAAAATCCAGAGACAGAACAGTTTATGCTTATAACTTCGTCTGCTGCAACCCAAAGCAATGCGACATCTTCCATTTATCTGAAGTGTAACTGAATCTCAAACACACTTCTTGAGAGGAACGTGCGAAGAACAGAACCCACCCCAAAAACAGTACAGCTTATTTGTTAACTGTAACAGCGATTATAACTTAGATCACTCAAAACATACCACAGTTCAGACAATTAATATCTGTATTAAGAAATGCAGTGTACACAAACAACCATTGATTAAAAGAGAAATATAAAAGTAGAAAGAGAATGGTAGAACTGAATTTTTCATCTCATAAGTTCATCTCGTAAGTTTTTGCTCAACTTCATAAATCCCAAGCTTTTCTATTTAAACACTTGCTATTGTGAAAGCTAAGATGGATTCGCTAACTAGAACAAATTCTGGAATACTACTTTAAGGCAATCATTACAATTGTTCATGGCTTCCTTCTAAATTAAAATACTCTCTTATTAAGCACATAGGCCTAACACAAAAAGCAACTTTAGATCTTTCTCTGCCTCTTCTTTGGTTCTGCAAATGCAACAAACTGATGTATGATATACTTTGCAGCTAAGAATTCCAAGAAGTTTAAAGTAGTTTCTAAGCATACAGTACCTTTCACATCCTCCTTTGGTTAAAGATATAAAATACAGTATGACTGGATATATGACAAATATCCTACATATAAAGCTTACATTTACAAAAACTAAATAAAAATGGCCAAATAGTGAGAAGCTACAGATATTTCTTTTTCTCAGAAGGTGATGAAAAAATGCAGGGAAAACAGACGGCAAATTAAGAAAAAATAATAATAATAAATACATACATATATATATATATAGGCTGTATTGTTCCTTTCTTTCTAGGTTTTAAGTTATAAAGAAAAACATGCAGCTTTTTGACCATTTACAAGATTATAATTTACAGCTAATAGCAGATAGAGGCAATTATTTCAATGGAAATAGAAATAAATCATGTTATTTCTATCAGAAAAATCAATGTGCTTTATTTCCTGAACAAAAATAGAACACTGATTGGAGAAACTCTATAGCAACAGTGAATCCAACTCTGCAGTACCCTGCTCAGGCAAAACTTCTCATTGCTCCTGGTGGCTGTGCAAGGATTACAAAACGGAAAGCAGGATTACTTTGGCTTATGGTCTGGAACACAAGGAAGGATGGGTGAGAAAAAACACCCTAAAGCTGATCTGTCCTGTGTACGTGCATGAGGACAGCCTGTTGGTTTTACATCTTATATTCTTAGCAATATTCTCATATTAGATTTCTATCAGTTCTCTGCTGTGTAAGAAATTTCTTTGAACGTAAGTCCAGTGTTAACATCTCTTCCATGTCAAAAAGGAAGAACCAGCTTTCAGCATAAAACTCAATTATATGAAGCAGACAGCAAACATCAGGCAAAGACGTACATTTATCCTCTCACTGATGCTGTCTGCACAGCCGAGAGCAGCAGCTGCAGGGCTGGTTCTCCGTGGACCTTTGGAAGCTGAGGAAGGATTTGCTGCACCCCTCCTTGGGCTCCTAGCCTGTACTCAGAGATGACAGATCCAGACATGCAAATGCCCAAACGAAGGAGCTGTGGCCTACGCAGAACCCGAGCCCTGTCCTTGCTGCCACGACACTGCGAGCACTGAGCAGAGTGCTGGTGTAACCCTGCACTGCTCATGGAGAGCACCCCTGCCCCAGCTCTGACAGGATGTGATGGGGAGGAAGGCTCAACTTCTTTGCCCGCAGGCTCATGCTGCGTGGCCCTTAGCAGCTACAAGGAAAATACTGCACTGTTCACAGTCTGGCCGTAGTTTGCAAGGAACCTAGCTGCTTGAATAATAAAATACACGTCTAATGAGATTTGGACGTATTTGTGAAAAGAAACTTTTCAAAAGTTTAGAGTTTGGACAAATGTTCCCATCATTTCACAGAAAGTTCAAAAGTACAACTTAGATACAAAGACTCGCACCAAATTTCTGACTTGTGCTCTAGAGCAGAATAACAGCAAACCATATTGGCTGAAAGCCCTGAAGAACCTACAAATCACTCATGCAACAGTGTATTTTTGTCAAACCTCACCCTCATTTTGGCTGAGAGATTGGCCTGGATTTGCATTTTGCTTGCACACTACTCTACTTTTTGTTTTGTTTTCATTCTGAGGAAGAAAACCTAAAGCAAACATTGGCAAAGCCATAAATTCGCAAAAAAAACCCCAAAACACCCAAACACCACTCCCACCCCTCAGACAGGTCAGGAAGCAGCAAAAGCAGTCCATAACTAACACAGAACTTCACAAGTAAGAATGTTCTCAGTCCTGCCTGGCCTGTTTGCCTACAAGTGCCATGTTATTTGTGCTTGAAGGCTGAAAGTTTAATCTGGGGCTGCCTACAAGTGAAATGACAGCTGGACTTTGCGATGTAAATTCACTTTTATGAACTGAGATCATACGTTTCCTTCACTGCTCACCACCAGTGAAACTGTTCTAAAATAGACAATGAAAATGAAAGCAACTAATCTTCATTATAGAAAGAGACGAGGTTAGTGAAATTCAGTCAAATTTTTCTGGTAAAAAACGTGTCTTTTTTTCCTCATTTCCTTTTACCCCCAACGAGTACACGACTAATGAAATATAGTCAGCGATGTACACACTGCTCTCTTCTGTTATCATAATCAATAAGAACAATTTAGAGCAGTGGTAACCTCTCCATGCATACTCCCACTATCCCATGGGATCAATATAATTCAGTATCACAGCTGGCTGGTGAAAAATAATGAGATTATGATAACAAAAAGAGAAGCTTTTCAAATTTTTTTTCCTGGTATATGCCAAAACATTACACCTTTCAGCCTGCTTCTGAAGAACAAAACAAATATTTAAGAACATCATATTTTGTATACAAATACATGTAAAGTATATAAAGTAGTTTATGTATCTACATCTGCAGCAATTCTTTGTAAATTATTTCAATCTTCATGAACACAGTATTTGTTTCCCTTAAAAAATGACTGTAAGATTTGACATCTTCATACTTAGAAAGGGGCTATACATATTTTAAAATGTATCAATTTTCCCAAATGTTTTCCATGAAGAGAACTGCCATTTGCAAAAGTCTTGGTTTTGTTTGATAGCAGTACGTGTGTATTCATGGCTAAAATTTATTTAAGGGTGTGCAGCAGATTAAAATGCATACACCTATGTTAAAAAAAGCAAAATTCTCCTAGTAGTCTCTATAGTTCTATAGCATGCTTACTGAAACCGAAACCAGGATCTAAGCTCCTGCCTTCTTTCCTGCTAGTCCTGGAGCCCATAGTGAGCAATGGCAAGAAGCTATGCATCTCCAATCCTTCAACTCTATTTCCAGTGAGCACCACTTGCTATCCAGTTGTCAACAGTGGTGGCAAAGACTCCTGTGGCTGCAATCAAGTACCTCAACAGGCCATCTGGCTTTTGTAGCTACTCTTCTCGTAGCACAGAATCAAGTAAGGTCTATGTTAAAAGCAGCTATGAAACACAGTATCAGCTCAATCCAAACTACGAGCCATTGAGCACTGCTTATGAAGTAGTTGAGGGGATGCTGGAAGATGTATACATTTACAAAGGGAATGAAGATCATTATCACTTCTACAGTATGTACAGGAAGGCTCACATTTCACCTACAGTACTGCTAACAGTTACGCTTTCACCAGCTCACTAGTTTAATAGATGGATTATATGTGAATCTTACCTGGGAGGAAATGAGATGTCCAGTTCATACAATCTGTCCTTAAAGACTGACAGCTCTCTGTCGAATTCTAAAAGCTATAAAAGATAGAAACAAATGCATTCCCTCTTTAATGTTGAACTGAAGCAATTTAAAAACATGACATTATATAAAACGTCATAAACAGAGATTGATTATACAGCCTGAGCTGTGTTCCTCAGATAACAGTTTCCAAAACTTAATGCAAAACACTGAATTCTGTTCTGATATATAGAAAGTTAATTGAGAAAAGCGTACAGAACATCCATCCCAGCGAAACGCACAACACTGGCTCTTTACATCAGTGTCTTATACGTGCACTTAGCATGTTAAGATGGCAAATTAGAAAAAAAATATATTAGCAATCTTTTCAGAGATAAACCAGGCTAGCATTAAAAGCGTACAGCAAACTGATATGCTAATCAGCCCACAAAAATGCCAGCAGGAGTATCACGTTACTTTATATTATCTTTAGCTCAGATAAGAAGGTACAACAAACACAAGGATGTGCAAATCACTCTTCCTAAGCAAAGACAAGCAGCATTTTTGTACACTAATTTTGGGTGGTGCACATCAGATAGCAGAAAAAAGGAGATGTGACAACAGGTAAAATGCGCTCCCAGAAAGCAGGCAAGATGCAGAGCTGGAAGCAGATATTGAACAGACATGTTCATAAGCCTAGAGTTAATATCCCACGTAAATATTAATCCTTGCCAAATCTGTTCTCCCTTGACCACAGAGAAAATAAACATCTGTAGTCTTTTGTTCATAAACACGAACCCACTCATAACAAGTCAATGATAACAGTCTGTGCTAAACCATTAACTGTTCTGATGAACACAAGCGACCTTATTTCAGAACCATGGCTGGTGTGAAGTCTGACGTCCAAGCAAATAAGAGAGTCAAAAAACAAAAAGCTCATAATCTGCAGCATTGCTGGCCGTTGTTCCAAGTGTCACTTTCTATTTCGACAAGCATGTCATCAAAACAGTATCCTGTATGAAGGGGTGTGTTTGTCCACTGTTCATTAATCACGTCCCATCTCACAGCTGTGCTGATACCGTTGTATGAATAGCAGAGGTTCCCAAAGAAATTAGATTGTGTCCCTCTTTCCCCTCTGCCACCTCATAAATCATTCCTGAAACGTGCAATTAGCAGCTACTTGTACACATTAATTATCTGTGGGAAGGGCAGCTACCTGAACCACCTGCAGTGCTGATTAGCTACTCACCATGGCCCACCCGTGTTCTTCCATTTCTAGTTGCTGTATTGCTTTACGTACACACTTCTGCACGTGGGTACAAAACAATGGGCAGCTTCCCCTATTTCACTGCATCTGACACTAAAACCTGAGACGGAATGCTGGCAAAGACTTTGAATACAAATAACTGCAATTAATTTGAATATATTTTGACACCTATCAAATGCAACTATTTAAAAGTTTGAATAAATACTACAAAATACCTGGAAACCTGCATCTCATGTACCTGTCTATCTAGTAACATGTTCAACCCCAAAAAGGTGGGATTCAGACATTTCTTTACAATGTAATCTCAACACATTTAAGGAAAAAATGATTCCTCATGCATTCTTCCTTTATTATTATTATTATATTTATTATTATTTATTGCAATCCTTTATTTAATCCAAACAGACAGATGTGTAGCCACTACATATTAACACCTGTTCTTACAGCCAGCTTGTATGTATATCTTTTTTCTATTCTACATCTCCTCACTTGTTTAATTATCTGCCCAACACGAACCTGGCATAGGGAAATAAATAAATAAATAAATAAATCTACCATCCACTAAAAACTTACTTGAAGCACGTGGCTATTAAAGTAATACAAATACATTTTTCCTGCTCCTTCCAAATAAAACGATCAGAGAAGAAGGTGGAAGCACCAGAAAAAAAAAAAAGGCTATTTCTGAAGTGTGAAAACAGCAAGAACTGAATAAAAGGACAATGACTCATAGAACGCGATCGTATAAATGACATGAGAATTCCAAGATGTTACACACAAGCACTGCCCTCTCATCCCAATTCACACTTTCAAAACTTTAAACATTCATACCGTTTTTGATCTGATTATATTTGCAAATTAAGTGAAGGCCAGCATTCAGAGGACTAAGTGTTCACACACACACCATCCAGAAGCTTCTGATGCATTTATTTGCTGCAGTCGCTTGTTTAGTTGTGCTGTGCTATGCAGATGAGCTGCTGACACTGGTGACAGAGTGCACAGGTAACAGGAACAAGACCATATCGTGTGCTGCATTTGTCAGGCCCCTGAGTTTTCCCAGGTAAAAGGAAATAACTGAAGCAGGAATGACAAAGCCAAAAACTCACGATGACGTAGCTGAGTGTCCAAACCCAACTGGGAGCCCAGAAGCACATGAACAGGGAAAGCTGTCCTTTGCTGGCAGTGCATCCTCACGTGTAAAACGACACGTATTTTGAATAGAGTGAACTATTTCAACAATGTTTTGTTTCTTGCTATATTTGAATCATTACTTAATTTCAACAAAGCATTTATTCTGTCCTAGATATTAAGTGGTAAGTTACAATATCTGTTACCACGTGTACAAACGTGACCACAGATCACATGATTATTCTCATGAGGGAAGTGGCAAGTTCCTCACATGTTCAGGATACTACAATGAGAAATCATGTAAGAGTTCTTCTTTGTTTACCTAGTACCACCACAGACTGCAGGGGAAGCTAGGGCAAGAAGTGACGAAAATTTGAGTTGTGCATTTTGAGAAAACTCACATTCATTTTCCAGTAGATGGGCATGCTCTGACTATCACTTTTTGGTATTTGCACCTTGGTTCTCATTCAAGTCCGTGATCTCAAAATGAAAGATCACAGATGAAAACAACTAGTAGGTCTTATCACAATTACAGAAGCTACTCTCCTTTCCAACTCAACCTAGTAGGAGAAATAATGGATCTTGACACAGGAACCATCTCGTTATATTCGCTTTATGGCAGCTACGTGGATGTCTGGAGCCCCTGAGCACTACAGATAATTTATGAAAATACACACAACCTGGTACTGAAAAGCAGTCAGAATTTCACAGGGCAGCATCTTTACTTTTGAAGCATATGCCACCATCTTTTAAAAAACTACCCCAAGCATATTCTATTAATGGATATTTACAGCACAAACTTCTCGCTTATTTACATACTGTACACTGCTCAGCACTGTGAATATTATTGCTGCAACAGGAGTATGTCAGTTCACACTAAACGATTTAGAAATGACAAAGAAATTCACTTTAAAGCCAAAAATCAATATATTGTTCCATTTAATTTACTCATTCCAAGATCATCTTTGAGAAGCAAACCTTGAACATTCCCCATGATATTCTGGGATAATTTGAGCAATTACACAGAAATTTTGAAGAGCTGTGGCTGGAAGTTAATTCCAGAAATATGTCACAAACAATTCAGAAGACTTTTTTTTTCCCCCTCCTGAAAAAGCAATTTCACCAATGTACCTGTACATAGAGTATAACAAGGATCACATAAGGGCTGCTTTAAGCACTGAGTTGCTGATACCACGTTGTGAGGCTATAATGCAATGGAAAGTACAGCAATAACAGCAGAATGACAAGTCTTTGTCTGCAGCAAAAGCCCAAATGCAGCAGCTGAGGACACAGAAACAGAGAAAGAAATTTTGCTTACCTTTGGAAGATCTCAGTTTGGTAATGACCTCCAGTAAGATACCCTGACCTCCACTGCCAGCCCTTAAATGAGGTCTGGCAGGGGTGGATTCTGGCTCCAGCCCTTCCAGTCACTCAGCAGCATTGCATGCACCTGAGCTCCCCTGGGCTGGCCCTGCCTTCCAACAGGTGCTCCATCACTGCTTCAGGCCATGACTTTGCATTTCTGCTACATATGCAAATGTCCTTGGTCTACAATGTGCAGTGACTATTGCCTGCAACTGTCCCAAATGAGAATGCCATCCATACATGTAAGCAATAAGACCATTGACAGCTTGTACTCTGTGAGACAGAGACCTGGGCGAATACAGCCATGCAGTGGGATTATGAATGCACACAGAATGCACCCATTGGTCTGTAACTGAGAAAAAAATCGCAGGGCAGAATATTATTTCAAAGACAGATTAAATTTATTGATGCGATTTTGCAGTTTGAAGTTATATACTTCTGTTCTGTATGCTTCATAAGCCAAATCCTTCAGATAGCTTCTATACGCAAGCTCCTGCTGACTCAAATAGGAAATAACTTGCTAGACTTGCTATCAGTGAAGTTCTTTGCACAGAATTACCGAATGACTGCAATTGCACCGAAGAGTATTTGCTATTTTGTAGAGGAGAATTAGCAACCATTATAGCTGTTGCCTGTATCAGCTGCAGTGTGTAACACTGTGCTGTTTTTAGTCTGCTTGTAAAGACTGCTGAAGAGTTCTGTTCTTTCCCTCCCTTCTTCTTGTCAACAAGCACTATCATGGAACATTCACTTCCTGGAGCCCACAGTCTTGGGCCCTAATTGCTGGGGCTGTGTGTGGGAAGCAGCGTGAGTTTTAGCTGAAGATAACATTTATCTGCAACACTAAATTTGGATATTATTCTGCTCTACAATAACCAAAGGATTATAGCAGACTTTAGCCGGTGTAGAAATCTAAGTAATTTTGCTTGCTTCAATTTAAAACAACACAGCACTCAGGAAAGGTCAACGTCCATCGGTGCACTGCAGTGGGCCACCTTGGCTAAAACCACACAAGTATGAACCCTTTAAGGCAGGGCATCTTAATTCAGTCATTGGAGTAGAACAATAGCAATTACTCATCAAGACCTACAGACCAAAGTCAGAGCGTTGTTAGATCAGAAGGTGATATTAGCAGCATTTATCAAACCCATCTGCAGGGCTCACCAGAGAATTCACAGCTGTGAAAGGAAAATGAAGTTTTAGACCAAGAAAAGGAGATGAGCATACAGAAATGGCCTCAGAGAATTAAAATATATGGGCACAAGTCCATCACCAGTCTTGTACAGAGCCCTCTTCTTTTGAAAGACTCTGGAAATGCAA